GTTAAAAAATAAATCCACCACGAATAATTTTACTTATTTAAAATAAATTATATTTGCAGTGATTGTATAAACTATAAAGGGTAACCTAAAGCTAATTAAGTCTTGTTTTATAACTTTAAAGTTGGTCTCTACTTTCATATGAAACAACTAAGAAAAACGTTCTTCAATAAAATACGGCAATCAACATTTTAATCCTCAGTAGGTAGTGCTTTAACTTGTCAAGCACAGCTTTCTGATATTTTTAAGCCTGGGACTGGTTATATTTATAATTAACAGATAGATTTACTTTCATAAGACCATTTTGATATAGTTTTGGACTGGTAATTTTTTAAACCATGTGCCCACCACTTGGGAAAAACTGTCAAAATTTTGTTAATCTAATCTTTAATCCTATTTGCTCGCTACCTTCTCTTGTGTAAACCCAGTCTTATAAGGTTAGTTTGCATTGACGCCAGAAACTTCGAGCGCCAATTAATTTTGTTACCCCCGTCCTAATTAATGCTGTAAAGTAACAATGACAAATTACAACGGATATAACAGATAAAGCTTATTCGGGGAGAGATATTTTTCAAGTTAATATTCAGTATTGGTAAAACTATTTTCATTCTTAATTAATTAAAATAATACTACGTTTCAAAGAAACGAATCGCGTGACTTCTAAATTCTAATGTATGTAATTAATTGTATAATGTATTTCTTGTGTAGAAGTAATTGAATCTACATGTATGGTGTTCTAAAATTTTGTATTCAAGGTTTCTTAATGGCTGTTCTTATTTCATATGTAATTTATAATTTAGGAGTATTTATAAGAGCAAAACTATTAAGGATTGATAGTAGTATGCAGATGTATAATTTGGTTATTTAGTTGCAGTTAAGTGAAGTTCTTAAATTTCCTCGTTTCATTTTTATTAAATAAAATATAGAACAGCTAACTTCTTATTATTTAAACTAAAGAATATATTTCTTCGTAAATGAAATTACTTGCCATGTCACTAACGAAGTTCAAATACATAAACACGTGTAAAGTAACAAACATTACGTAGTTATTTGATCACAGCTCTATAAACAACACATTGATTGCTTTCTTTCTTATATTTTTAAATCAACTTTTAAAACGTTTACTTTTAAAACGTATCTATTCGGTGTTTACATATTTATGTTCTTTGAAAATTCTGCTATTTTCTGATAATTTACAATCTCGTTTGAATTGTATAATTCAAGCATCAATTATTTTGGTACAAAAATCGGCTAAATATGTTATGATTGATGGCAAATTATAAATAATTTTTAAGATTATTTCTTTTAATTATCATGGAATATAGTTTTTATGTTTCTGAGAAAATAAAAAAAAAAACCAATTATGTTCTAAATATGTCGAAAAATTAGAATCGATTTTAAAGCCTATTTTGGTTAAAAGGTCTCTTAAGAATTTATTGAAAATTGTTTGGTGGAGTATGGTCGCAACAAACTTTTCTATTTTTCCCTCCCGGTGACGCTGTCAAAGCCATTAGGGCTAACATCTACAGTCAAGTCGAAACTAAAAAAAAATTCGTTTTTGTGGCACGCCTCCGCGGCGTCTGCCCTGTTTCAAAGTTTTGCTTCAAAATAACCCTCCCTAAGATATACTTTTTAAGAAATTTTAAATATATACCTAAGCATTAATAACTATTGATTATTCTTTGAAATAATTAGAAAATTTATTTTTACTTATTATATTGTTTGGACGTATAATTATGTAATATGAAAAAGTAAGTACGAAACATTATTGCGAAATCCGATGAAAGAAATCAGTCAATCAGTATTTTTAAGAAGGAATTACTGACAAATTTTATAAAACACATATATATATACGAGAACATCGTTGTGAGTAGGTACTCTGAATTTTCTTTTATCTCACGACAAATTAAATCTTCAGTATCTGAAAATTAATTTATGCTACTATCAACCCTTAGGATTTGAATCCATATTTAAAACTCAAAAAGATTAAAGATAAACACAAAATTATTACTATCATACTTTGTTTGCATATTTTTTTCTTGTATTTGTAGATTTAATAATATTTCTCAGAATACGAAGCGACTATCAATGTAATTAAATTCTTCCAATTCATTATAATCGAACACAGAACCAATTATAAAACGGCGGAGTGTTAATTTTAATACCCAGAAAAGTAGCTAATAAATATATCGATATTAATGAGTTAATGCATTACCAAAGAGGGTTGATGTCAGGCAGGCGGCCGGTCGTGAAAACAATTAACCAAAACTATTCACAACATATAAGGCAGAACCTGGCTAAAGCTGCGAAATTTCCAGGCAGAAGAAGAAGATGCTATATATAGATATTAATTTCACAATTTTATTAAATATAATAATTGCAATATGGCGGAAAAATTGCATTGACATGCATCAATAATTCGTTACCCATACAATATTTCCAAGTTGTGATCATGTGTAAGGAATTAATAACAAGAAAGTTCAGTGGCACGTTTCAGTGAATTAGTATAGATTTCTGTTGGGAATTTAATGTCAAAGGTCATAATAGAAATGAATGTGAAAACTTAAATTGTATTGTAAGAAGTATAAACAATCATTATAGTGGTTTAAATATAATGATCATAGGAAAAATAATTCTCTCACATGGAGAAGGTTTGAACATTAATCACGACGCATACTCAAGGCGGATTGGCGATTTCAAACTTATAATTTGAATTATAAGTCCAGATTTCCTCACGATGTTTTCCTTCACCGTTTGTCAGTGGTGTCAAAATAATCTTAGATACTACATTTCAGTCGAAAAAAATCACATTAGTACTGGCAGGTTTCGAACCCGCGCCCCCGGTGTAGTATTATTGAAATTAAACTCATAAACATCTATATATTAACAGAAGCGGAAGAATATAGACGATTCTGTCAACCTATGAGTTCAATTTTGTATTGATTAACTTTTTCAAACTTTATAACGTATAAATATATTGAAAATACATTAATTTTGCTAGTTGCTAGAGCATCGTGATGGTCAGGAACCTTATCACAATATTGCAAAGTCTTAAATTTAGCGCTTCGAGATTTTTATTCATAAATCTTCATATATATCAGATACTAACATAGGTTATTGAATGAGAAAAGGTTCCTCGCCACAAACTATATTGATACTATCAAAATATATTGATTTATTTAATACAAAACCATTAATTTTGATCCTATACAAATATATAACAATGTTATAGTAATATTTTTTATATATATAGAATATTATTGTTATATTTTACTACGAATATTGTAAAGAATAGTTGAATAAGACGTACATATGTTAATACGTGAGATTATAGAATATGATAAAATATTGGATTGCTTTATACGATTGGGATGGATGGATCAGGTCGTAAATATTACTTGAATAGATATTACTAACGAAATAAAATATGTGTGTGTGAATCAAGACGAATGTATTCATGGAAATGAAGAAATATCATGAAATCAAAATTATGTCAACAAAAAAATGTTGCCATATTATCGCTATGAATTCATTTATTTGTATTGTTTAGTTTTTGAATTAAATTGAAATGTATATATGAATATAGATGAAATAAAATTATAGAAATTGTATATAGTCACAAGTCAAGGAACTTTGTTACTTAGAGAAGTTTGATCGATACGTCTCACAAATACCAAAAGGCGTAGAAATATTTTATTTAATATAAAATTTCAATAATATTTAGATTTTATTTTTTAATATAGGAAGATAGAAAATTGCCGTTATTTCCGTTACGAAGGACAGCACATGCTTCTGCAAAATTTTATTCAAGCAAAAGAATATTCGACTGCCGCATTGCTGGAGTACGGTAACCTCTGAAGTATTTCTACAGTATTTTGGGATTACACGTTGAAATCAAATATTATACAATAGAGATATCTCGACTACCAAAGTTTGATATTCTTTATTTATTATTGACAATGACAGAAAAATGTCTTTCAAATAATAATTTAATGAAGAGCTATGTTCAATGTATGCAATTACTACTGAGCGACACCATCTTGTACTTTTTTTTAATTATTTGTAGCCTGGCCAGGATTTTTTTCAGCAAATCCACTTTTATTATTTTTAACATACTAAATTATAATTAAAAATAATTTTGTTATTAACCATATTATGGGACATGTTTTATTTTACTTCAGATCTTAGACTCGGAGAAGATTAGATTTTAATATCAATTATTAAGAAGCTGCCTATAGTGATATGAGTTTCAATCGGGCCTTAATCCTTTTTTATTTTTTAGTCCAGCCTCTTTATTTCTTCTGCACTTCTTATTATTATTAACAAACAGCACACCTTATATAATGCTCCTAAGAAATGTTATCAAATAAGCTTCACGTGGACTATCCTCTTGTTTGTCATCTTTTAAAACACTTTTACTTCAATCTGTGTCATTATTTTTAAATCATTTCACCCCATCAAGTGATACCTTTTTCTAATAGAGAATTTAAAAGGTATTAAAAACGTATTTATTTAATTTATCCATTTATATGTACAATAAACGTTGACGTCCACACTATGCTAGGCCTGTATCATCGACATATACTAATGGACATGCCTTAGAGATGAGAATTGTGGCACTCCGAAAGAAAGAGAGGAAACGAAGTTTCGGTCTATCTTTATCTCTCTCAAATTTATATGCCGTGCTTGTCATAAACACTGAGCGCCAATCATCTATGAGGAAGGAGATAGTGCTAGACCGAAAGCATAGGCCATCTCTCTCACTCTTTTCAAACCGTCCGTTAAGAAAGACATGCTTCTGCAAAATTTTATTCAAGCAAAAGAATATTCGACTGCCGCATTGCTGGAAACGGTAACCTCTGAAGCATTCCTACAGTATTTTGGAATTACACGACGAAATCAAATATCATACAATAGAGATATCTCGACTGTCAAAGTTTGAAATTCTTTATTTATTATTGACAATGACAGAATAATATATTAAAAAATGTTTTAATGTAGAGCTACGGGCTACCTTTGTTGAGTGTATGCAGATATAATTTTGGAGACATCTTCTTGTACCTACAAAATTTAATATTTAAATTTTTATAGTCTGGCCAGGATTTTATCAGGCAATCCACTTTTTATGATTTTTATCATACTCAATTATATATTGCATATAAAATACTTTATCCATTAACCATATGGGTGAAGTTTTATTTTACTTCGTATCTTACAATCGGAGAAGATTAGATTTTAATATCAATTATTAAGAAGCTGCTTATAGTGACACGAGTTTCAGTCTCGAGAGCCCTAATTTCTTTTTATTTTTAAGCCAAGTTCTTCTGCACTTCTTATGTCGACAGCAAACACAGGATACCTTATTTAGAGTTTCTAATAACTGTCTAAAAAACATCACGGGGACTATCTTTATGTTTGTCATCTTTTAAGACACTTATCATTATTTAACGTGTTCTTTTTGTATGTGTATCACTTACCTAGTGAGTAACAATGTAGCCAGTAGATAGAATGCTGATGGGTGTACGCCGCATTCACAGTCGCTCTGCGGCGTAGCTGTCTGGGTCTCCATGGCTGGACCCAGCTTGTGGTAGGCGATGTACGCTCGCACCGGACTACCGTGTGGAGCAATTTTCGTGGCCTTGAGATTCTTCCGCAATAATTGAAACTGCTCATCTGGTCGCTGGGACCACGCTGCCTATCTGTAAGAAATATATGTGATGTATTTCTTAATTTTTTTGGCTGAATAGTTTTGTGCATATGACTACTGCAATTAAAAAAAATGACAGAATATTGTGTCAAATGTCAACTGATATGTTTCTAAAAGTTCACTAGATTTATAGTAAGTAAAGCAAAAAGTACACCACTATTATGGCTTTTTATTAACAATTAAAGATTGTTTTCTTTCACCTATCCAGAACTATAACTGAAATAGTTTCAGTTTCAAATACTGAAAGTGGGTCATTCTGTTAAAATTACAGTAATTAAGTCCGATAAAAATATACTTATATTTAAAACTTTTTACGTACTATGGTCGAAGGGGATACCGTAATTGCTTTTATGACAAAAGAAAACAATAGTGTTGCTTGAATAACTTTCTTTTCGTGAAATATTAGGATCTTTGATACGAATTTATTAAGCTATAATATCAGTATAGTCATTAGCCGGAATCATAAATCACCGATGTAGTTATTAAAATTGATGTTTGGATTTTGGATGAACCTAAATTTACTTGGTCACTTACAATATTACGTAAAAAATATATGTATCAAAGTTTTTGCAAGTTAATGTGAGTATGAAATTGTCTTTGTGTTATTTGATTTGTATTTAATAGTTACGAACAACGTTTTAACATTTAACAAGAGATATATTTTTAAGAAAAAGTATAAGGAACTAATCGAATCACATTTACAAATTTTCTACGTCTCTTAAATAGTATAAAATACTACGTTTGTAGGCGTGGTGTTGGCAAAGTGGAGGCGATGAATCATAACAATTACGTATCTATCGCGCTATCATTACAATGCTACAAAAGGTTTACCAACTAAAAGCTTACTATTTCATACAATTTCAGGCCTTATAGCCACGAAATCCAAAGTTCATTGATCACATTTTTCTATGAAAACTTATAGTTAATTTATATCGTAGAAACAATATCACGCGAGTGTCATTAAAGGTTGAAGACTATTAGATCGCGAGGTATTGTGATAGAGCTAAGAACAGGACTCGCCCGCACGACCGTTCAACGTAAACTGCTGAAAACGAGAAAATGAAGCTATGTACTGAAGGGCTGGAAACATATTTATCGATACGGAAGATAGGGATTGCATTTTGTTTAAATATCATACGGAATATATGTAAATTAAACCTTTATTTGAAAACCTTCCTAAATAAGAATACAGAGTATCAATAAGAATTGAATTGTGTGAATGAATAATTAGTTGAGTATAGAAACAATAAATCGAGAATTTGTTCGTAATTACACACGACATTATGTATTTGAAAAAAAAATCGTTTATTTCAAATCTTTCCAGCATAATTTTTATATCGATATCGATAAAAAATCTCTGTTTGTACAGCCCTATGGAATTATTGGGCGGGTTATCGCTACACAGGGTGGGGGAAAAGTCGATAGCTACTCGCGTGGTTACACGATGCAACCTGCACAATAATAATTATTATTAATAATAATTATAAAGCCTTAATACACTTAAATCCTTTTATTATAATGAGATTACACTCGAGTCTTTACTATACTACATTTTCCGCAACTCTTATAAAACTTGTCACGATTCAGCAGTTATCGCTGATTGTAATTTCAAAATAGTTATACGTTTTTCACAGATTAAAAAAATATTGAATTCAATGTAATTATGAATTATTATTGACAAATTATATTTTTCATGTGAATTTTTATGATTTCATTGTTTCTTTTCTTGTATTATAAAAATAATCAGTTTAAAGACGAGGTAAATTTTCATACAAGTAACTTCGGCGTTCTACCGTTGGAAGGAGGAATTTAATCATATACTTTGATGAAACCTTCCTTTTATCGTTGTCCCCAGTGGATGTCCGACTTCTTTAAGGAACGGTCTCACAATTGAAACTTGCGAACACCCCTGGTTTTTCCTGACCCTTATTTTAAAGGAGGGTTCTACTAGCACTATCCATCCTCCCTGGTGACCATAAAACCAATGTCGCTTCTAGATATCTTCTTGTTAACTTATAAAATTGACTTGAATTGAAGGTGGTAGAGCCTAGCTGTGGTCAACTTACAGCTCGCTTGAGGGTTCGACCGAGGAAGTACCACCCTCTCATAGACGATCGGCGTGAAGTAGTCTTTAATAGCTGGGCTTCGTTCGAGAGAGCGAGCCGTCTGCCCTTTCCTGTTCCCACCCTTTCCTTTTCCTATTTCCCTCCCTTTCCCCCTCTTGCCCAATCAAGGATGACAATGCATCCTCAGCAGCTTTGTTGTGGATGTCCATGGGCGACGGTAGCTACTGTGGACTGCCCACCTAGTAGACCATCTTCTCGTTCACTACCTTTCATATAAAAATAAAAAATTAAATAAAATTATGCAACATCAAATCAGAGTGTTTAAGGTTGGATAGGTTATTTCTTATATTTTTTTCAATTAAATAAAAGCCTTTTTACGATTTTTTATTTTGTTTAACACTGTATTAAGATATAGCGACGGTTGTATGTGAAGTTCTCGTCCGTTGCGCGGATATTCGTGTCTATATTGTACGTTGTTATTTGTTAATCAAAGACTAAGAGGACTGCTTTAGGACTTTTGCAGGCCTGGAATGGTAGGCGGCTTTGACGATTAGCAGTTTTGATTGTGAGCTTGCGATCTCAAAAATCTCTTTGAGTTCCTCTTCATATGTGTGGCTATCATAAGAAATTCAAGATTGGAGTTTCCGATGTAGCAATTTAGTTAGGCTATACGAATGAATTAGTTCTTAATCACTTACCATTTTTACTAGCTTAAGAACGAGTGTGGAACGAAGTACACGCTTACGATATGTTTGGAAGGCAGGTGTTGTAAATTGTGAACTTATTTCTAAAGTACATTTTACTTTTGTATCAGATCATGGAGTATATACAGGGTGACTGGTGAATTACTATCGATATTTGAGGACGTGATATTTGACGATCATATATGACAAAATAAAAATTAATATAACATAAATATTAATAAACTTCTAAGTAAAGTTAACCAAAAGTTATGTAATTAATTACGCATCGTATGAACACCCTACAGATTAGGTATACTCTCACACACACACACACAGACGCGGCGGTGGCGTGTTGTTGTATCAGCACGCCGCCGCACGCGTCCACACTTGGAACACTTGGAACGTGTACACACTTTATTTATTTTTACGGAAATTTGGTCAAAAATTAAGTACCTATTTTTTTTACATAATTCGAATGAGAATCATGTACCGAGTATGCTCCTTAAATATTGATAGTAATTCACCAGTCACCCTGTATATAGGCCATTTAACCGTAGGCAGCTCTGTTCATTACTATCTGGATATGTGCTCAGAAGATAAAATGACTTTTTGCCAAGGAAGATCTTTGGTCGTATAATTTAATTGAGAAGACGGAGGCCTGAGGGATGTTGGATGGCGTTTATAAGGCAAAAAAAGTATTCGGTGCTGGGTCAAATCAACGTGGTTTAGGATGTCATAACTGTTTCGACAACCATATTTATTTATTTGATCTGCAGTGATAAATAAACTAATTACTATTATTAATATTGGAAGGAATAAAAACATTACGCTATGACTACGAATTGTTTTATCTATATGACTATTAACGTTTAGTATTAGTAATAAAATAAATAGAAATTTTAGGTATTTTTATTTATTTTCGGTATATTTTTTTTTATTTCATTTCCGCGACCGAATTTTCGAATAAGATGTGTGTCTAAACATGTGTTATCCATTTTGGATTTTTGAAATATACTAAAATTTTTATTGCTTTTACTGTAAATTCTATTGTTTGTGTAATTTTCATCCTTATTTAAAGATCTAGTTAAAAAGAAAACTAGAAAAGAGTCTAATCAATCTAGGAACTCAGGCTAAAATAGTTCTCACCCAGAAGAAATTTGTTGAAATACCAGAGTTCATGCCATAACTGGTTTTCCACCCGATAGCCAAAATTATGCAGTTATTTAGAATCACTCTTCACGCTCTTCTTCATCATAGACTAGGTTATATATTTTTTTTGTTCGTCACAAATTCTTTAGCAATGCGTCTTTTGAATTATTAGACGACTACTTGTCGCATACTAAGATACAGTCAGGTTATAGTACTTCATTTTACCAACTCTCATGAAGCCTAAGCGCCGAAGAAAAAATTATATACAAAATTGTGGTCGACTGTAAGAAGTTTACGCGTCTTCCCCAATACCATCGCATGCTCAAAATTAAATGTCATTAACATCATTAACGCAGTTATGTTTGTTAAACTGTATGTAGAAAAATATCTCTGCTGAGGTTTTATCTGAAAAGAAAATCATTGGGTTTTTGAAAAGTTGAGAGAAGAGGTTTTGCTTCATGCAACATGAGCATCGTTGGCAGCACTTCCACATTTTTAGTTTTAAATGTTTTTAACGCTCTGGATACGAGTAATTTTATCGTTAACAGTACAGAATTTACAGGTCTATCAGGTGTTGGATACGAACACATCTCCTCAATACACAATAATGTTAACAGTGTAAAAACAAAAACAAAGAATGAGCAAAAATACTGTTGTGCAACCTTTTAAGCAATAAATATATCTAAAATCCTTTCAAGAAGTTGTTACTGTAGCGGTGGAAAATAATTTATGAGTGTCAGTCACTTCACAAAATGTTTTTCGAGACGATTATCCGTTATTCAGGTATTGGTATTTGGATAAGATTAAATTATAAGAAAAAGTAAAATTGAAGTATGGCTTATGTATATTAAATATTAATAAATTTAGTTGGTAAAAAAAGTGGTAACAAATGAACTATTAATAGATATAATTCACCTACGAACCCGGAAACAAGATATGAAAATGTAGTCAGTTTGCTTTAGAATTTCATTAAAAATTGTATTTTATTTGAGCCGACTTTCGAGACTAGTATAATGCAATTTTATGTAAATCTATTCTTTCTAAACAATATGGCTTGCAATCTTTTACATAATTTATCTCTTGTGTCACTATTAATTGTATAAATAAAATACATAAGAAAATAATTATAGAAATAATCTTTCGTCATTCCATTTGCAAAACTATATATTTTTGTATTTTATTTTTATTTATATATATATTTGTATTACAAATAGATTTTTAGTAAAGCTAAATTTTTGAACACATGTGATGATTTACTCTGTTTCAAATTTTTTATCTGTTGTTTAAATACGGATCAGTGATTGGTATTTGACGAATGGCGATTACCGCTACCGAAGTGAGACTGTGATAGCCTAGTTTTGTGGAATGTATAAATTTTTGTTACTTTTAATTTAATATTATCAATATTACAATTTCTCCGCATTGAATCATTAAGGACAACTTTTCTTCAAAACATATTTTATACCGTAAGTAAACAATGTAGCGTCTGCATGATTACTTCAGTGGAGTGGTTAAAAGAATGTTCTGGTTATTTAAAAGTTTTTCGAATAACGTATGCGATTCTTTATATTCTTTTTACTTATGCTTACAAATAAAAATATAAGTATATCTTTATTAAGCCTTGACACGTGGTTTAACAAAACCTATTGTTTTAGCTACATCCTATGCCAAAACGACCGTTAAACTTATAACTTTATTAATGATATTTCCATACTTATTGTCGCTTTATACTATGAAAAATTATCTTGGAAGGTTAAATTCGCTTTATACTTTAAATTTTTCTATATTTCTTCATGTATATAAAGGTAATTCGAAAATGTTTCAATAACTAAGTTGTGATATATTTTATTAGATGGCTGAAGTATCAGAAATGAGCTCTTCTACTCCCGAAGAATTGTTGGCTGCGGGTCGAAGACATCTAGCAGTTAGAGACTATACATCAGCCGCGGAGACACTCGCTACAGCGTGTGAGCTTCTTGCTAAGAAACATGGTGAATTTGCCGATGAGTGTGCTGAAGCATATTTATGGTGAGTTTTAAAATACGCATTCTCTATAAGTAATTCATATAACACAAATTTTAGTATTAAATTAAGTTTAAATTACTATTAACAACATGTAAGGCAGACCCTAGCTAAAACTGGGAAACGGCTAGGTAAAAGATGACATTAAGTTTAAATTGAAAGGATACAATGAAATATATTTCAAGGAGACTAGACATATCTGTCTGTAATATTGTAACCTTATGCTTAACCCATTTAGCTAATATTTCATTATATAAATACATGAATTTATAAATGATGAAGATTTTTGTTCAAAAAATTTGTATTAAATATGTATTTGTTAAATAACATTCAGGTATGGCAAATCTCTTCTTGGATTGTCAAGAGAAGAAAATGGTCTCTTGGGTGACGGAGTAGCCGGGGGAAATAATGAAGATGGGGATAATGAAGGTATTAAAATATTATTAACTTAAAATCTTTATACATATATCATATTATCAATATAATACAAAAGATTCCTGAATATTAAATTCTTTCTACGTAGTAAAAAGCTGGATAAAAATGTTAAAATAAAAATATTTGTTCATATATAAAGTTTAGTAGAAGGTTTAGTGAAGTGATAATATGTACATTGAAACTTTAAAAGTTTTTATACCCTTATATAATTGATATAACTACCTATACATAATATTCACATGTGATTATTCCATTTTAGAGGATAATGGTGAAGAAAATGCTGAAGCAGAACAGAAAAACGGAGAAATTGCAACAGAAGATGGTGACGATGACGAGAATAAGGTTGAAGATACAAAAGATAATGAAAAAACAGAACCTGAATCAACGACTAAAGATTATGAACCTGGAAGTAGTACAGAAAATGAAGAAAAACCAGTAAATATTACTTGTATTAATTATTTTAGAACTTATGAGAGATGAAACCTCTTAACATTCATTGTTTTCACCGTATGGGTGCCGAGTCCATCATTTTAGAGAGAGGAGCTTCAACAGTGCCTGGGACTTGCAACCCAGGTGTATGTTTAAGAGGCATTATCTAACGCGCGTTAAACGCTCAAGCTCCTCTCTCTACTTATAATAATTTCTATTACATTAATATTTGTTTCTTATGCTATGTTTAAATGTTATATATTTTCTTTTAGGGTACATCGAATGGGGATGTAAATGACGACTCTGTTGTTAATTTGGACAATGAAGATGATGTGGATAATTTACAACTTGCCTGGGAAATGTTGGGTAAGAACATGCACTAAAACAATTTAATACATGTATATACAGGGTGACTGGTGAATTACTATCAATATTTAAGGAGAATACTCGGTACATGATTCTCATTCGAATTATGTAAAAAAAATAGGTACTTAATTTTTGACCAAATTTCCGTATAAATAAATAAAGTGTGGACACGTTCCAAGTGTTCCAAGTGTGGACGCGTGGGCTGGATGCAACCGGATTCCCAGCCCCCTGTCAGTCAGGCGAGGTCGGAGCGCCACTGGGTTGTTTTAGTGGGTATACCGGGAATCCTTTTCCCGGGGAGTCCCACATACCCCTCCCCGTCTCCTGACGGAGAGGGGATGCGTAAAGCATTTTTTCCCAGTGCGCACAAAAAAAAAAAAGTGTGGACGCGCGCGTGTGTGTGTGTGTATACCTAATCTGTAGGGTGCTCACACGATGCGTAATTAATTACATAACTTTTGGTTAACTTTACTTAGAAGTTTATTAATATTTATGTTATATTAATTTTTATTTTGTCATATATGATCGTCAAATATCACGTCCTCAAGTATCGATAGTAATTCACCAGTCACCCTGTATATTTTTGTTGCAAAGTTGTTATGACTCAGTAAATTTGACTATAATTTCATTAGAACATCTAATCTAATAGTTACAAGAATTGAATGTTAAAATAATTTCTTAATCAGTATAATTTATTAGTGACCAAAGCGAAGGATTTTGGTTGAATATCTAAAAATTGATTTATATTTTGACTAGATCTATCAAGAAACATTCTTCAGAAGCGGGCAGAAAATGGCAAGGATGTTCGAGCTTTATTAGCTGAAGTACACCTCGCTCTGGGAGAAGTAGCACTAGAGAGTGAAACTTATGATAAGGCTGTAGCCGATATGAGTATGTTTATGACATATTACTTATATATTACTTAAAATGTATTTTTTTTAAGTGTATGTATATTATCGTTTCTACATATGTATATAGTTTTATTTATTTTTCTATTTCAGTCAGCTGTTTGGACATACAAAAAGAACTCTACAAAAGTGATGACAGGCATATCGCTGAAACCCACTATCAAATTGGTATGATAATTGTTTCATATAGAAATTAGTATCTGGACTAAAAATTTAGGATTGTTGGTATATTTTAAAGGTTTTCTCAAAGAAATAAACATACAAAACATGTTTATATTAATACATGTTGGAATCATATCAAATCGATCAAATAAATGGTTAATATAAAGAAACATATTGACTCAAGATACTAACATGTTAAATAATTACTAACTTGTCAAATATTAAACACAATTTTTATTAGTTCTGATCTCACTTGCACTTTGAAAGTTTTTACTATTATTAAATAAATTTCTAATAACTATATTATTCACACTTGAAACATGTTCTACAGGTTTGGCGAATTCGCTGGCATCAAACTTTGAAGATGCAATCACACACTTCAAAAACGCTGCAAACATTCTCGAAAGTAGAATAAAAACTCTAGAGAATCCTAAGACAGTTTCAGAATGTGCAACAGTCAAAAAATACGCGACAACTGACCCATTCTACTCAGTGGAAGGCGAAATTAAGGAATTAAAGGAACTTTTGCCGGAAATACAAGAGAAAATTCAAGATATGATGGATTATAAAGCCGAGGTAAGACCCTGTGACTGTGTTGAAGCTACACGAGCGATGCTTAGGAACATGATACTCAAAGAACAGAAACTGTGTAACGGTATTCATGTATGAATGGCTATATACATATATAGTGATGTTTACATACATTCCACAACTAAATAACTGCATTTTAAACATATTTAAGTCTGATTATTCATAGTTTTAGCCAGTATTGCTGATTTCTTTATATTGTGATGATTGCTAGTAATAAGTGCCTTATTGAATCTCATTCACAATGCTAGTGTTGTAAGTTGTATTTAGATGTAAGTGACTTTTTTTACCACATCGCCATTTTTGTATGTCTTTACATTTTTTTTTGTGTAATAAATTGACTTAAATTTAAATCTGTGTGTTATTTCACTATCCGCATTAATGGTCATGTGGTGAAAATTGTTTTTTATGTGTTATGGCCATTGATGTTTATTAGGATTTAGTTGTAAATGAAATCATGGGAATGTTTTTCAATTTGAATATTGATTAATGAGTATTACTTTTTTTTTTTGAAGATATAATTCCTAAGTCTATTCACTGAAACATTCATGATTAAAGTAATGTTTTATATGATATAATCCTTTTGCAATACTATTCTTGTCTACAACCAGACATATACACAATTTTGACATACATATATTAATTAAATTAAACAATATGTTACACAAGATTTTATAACAAAGATGGGTATTTAAAGTACTATTTCTTAATTGATTTATCTATTAATATGTCACTTAATAATAATTCACAAATGACCAATAATATTTGTAAAAATATCAGTATTATTAGCTTAAATGCTATAACATTTAAAAGAAGTCTTGTAACAGATTTACATTTTACACTACATAGTTTTTAGGTTAGAGCCTATACATAAAATTTTATTCTTGCTTCAAATGGCTGTACTACTCATAAATAGTATTTTATAATTAAAGTAAAAGTATAGGGTCTCATTGCAAGTAAATATTTGATTTAAAAAAAAACATAGAAATAAGTTGCGTAATTTAAACAAGAAAGTTATTTATAATTTGTTATAACAAACATTGAATTGTCAGAGTATTATCTATTCTTTGAGTTATTGCCATTTTCTTAGGACAGAATATAAATATTTTAACTACCTATATCACTTGATATACAAAATTTCCAACAGGTATGAAATTTAAAAAATATAATTTTCAGACTATAAAAAGGGTACGCGAAACATTATGTCCTTCAAACGGAGAGAGCAGTAATGGCGCCGGTTCAAGCAAGACTGAACAAAAGGCATCAGACATCTCTCATCTCATAAAAAGGAAGAGAAAGAACAGCGAAGAAGGAGGTTCAGCACCGAAGAGGGTTAATACGTGAATGTTGGCATAATAAGTGTAGACATTGACCTTAATTTTTTGTATTAAATTAAATTATTTTTATATAAACGTGTTTTCGTGGGTGATCTGAAAAGTTTAGACTGTTAATAACTTAAAATTGGAACAAGGTCTATAAAAAAATATTGGAAAATTAATGGTGAAACTACATTGTGTAAATATCAATGTTAGTTATTATAATGTCTGAAATTCTATAAATAAGTTGTTATGACAGATGAAGACCTATATTTGAACTGGAATTTGAATCCATCAACGTTTGACATTGGATCAAAGGTTGCCATTTTGACGATTTAATGTAGACGCGGCCTAAAAAACAAAAGAAGTTAATTTTAAAATAATTAATGTTACATGTTAAAATTAGTGATTTAAGTGAAGTTAGATGATAGGATTTCTTATTTAATATGTAATCATAGTTAAGGACTCTGTATAAGATAATAAAAATATTTTGTTTAATTAAACATGGCGAACTGTGTTGCCTGTGTTTTATTTCATTGAAAGATTTTCATTTAGAAGTGGGATATGTTAGCCCCTTTGTATTAATTAGTACAGAAAACTGAACACAATCGACTTTTACAGATGAATTTTTTGTAAATGTAAAGTGAATGATAAAAATATATATTTATACTAGAAGACCCGGCGAACTTCGTATCGCCCTATAATCAAGAAATATCTGTTACGTTTTTTTAATAAATAAACTTAGGTTATACCTTAGCCTCAGAAACACATGGTGGTTATACTATTATGCATTAAATAGTCTCTCATATATGACGTTTATATTTTTAACATAGCTCCATCTATTGAATACTTAACTCAGTCAACAGATAATTGTAATAATGACGAAAAAATTTCTTTATTAGACAAATAATTTGCAATAAAATAATATTGTGACTATAAATTGAGATGTAAGCTATCTTATCTTTCAAGTTGGATCAAAATGCACACGGAATTCAAATCAAATTTAAAATCGGTTTAGTAGTTTCGGAGTCCATCGCGGACAAACACGTGACACGAAATTTTTATATATATAAAGATAGATTGTCCTTCAGTAAGAACATTAAAATATGTCGTATTAAGTGATATGTACTAGACAAAAGGCAATAATAAGTTTATATGTATATTGATAATATTTATTTTTGTGATATTTTTAGGGAAGACGAACTGTTTTCGACATCTTGTTTTTTCATTTCAGTAGATAAATTCAGTGTTAATGACTGCTGTGAGAAAAAATTGTTTTATCAGTGAATACTTCTTGACTCGTCTGGTTTATTTAAAAATTTCCAATATTTCACGATAGTTGTTATTTTATTTATAAATACAATAATTAAATCATCACTTAGCCTATTGCAGTCCACTGCTGGACATAGGCCTCTCCCAAAAGGCGCCATAACACTCATAATTAAATACTAGTAGTTTAATTACAAACAGTTGCCAGTGACAAGGACCTTGTACGTTATAAATTTTTTTTATGTGAAAGGTGGCAAACGAGCAGACGGCCTACTTGATGTAAGGTAGTACCGTCGCCCATGGACATCCACAACAAACTGCCAACCTTTTTTTTTAGGAATAGGGAGGGGTGGTAATAAGGAAATGGTAGGAAAGAGTGGGAAATAGGGAAAGGGCAACTGGCTCACTCACTCAACGGACGAAACGCAGCCACTAAAGGCTACGTCACGCCGATCTTCTGTGAGAGGGTGGTACTTCCCCGGTCGAGCCAGCCCATGTTCGAGCTGTAGTAACTGACCACAGCTAGGCTCTACCTAATAATTATACAGCGATTGGGACGTTTTTCATAAATAACTGATACTTGGTTTAAAATTATTTTAATTCGATATAGTTGATTACATTCAATGAGTGCGTTCTTTTAAATAACTTGAAGTTTTCGTTCAGAAAATCATCCAATCGACTTGAGGAAGACATGTAGGTATGACTTCTTCGATTAAATTCTTTTTTATATCACAGTAAGTTTTAAGACATTTACAGTTTTAAGTTTTTTTCCTTATTTTTGTATAAATGATCTTAAAAACATATGACTTAAAAGACAATTTAAAAAATACAAGAAGTTAATTATTTACATTATTTTTATATTACTATCAAAAAGAAAACCCATAACCGTACAACTGAGACTGAGCTTTAAATCTTAACAACTGCTTTACCCATGTTCTGTCCGTTTAACATGCCGATAAACGCATCATATAGATTATCGAAGCCCTCCGTGATATGTTCCTTTGTTTTTACTTGTCCATTTTTAATCCACTCGACAATTTGTGAAAATCCTTCATTCCAACGATTAAATTTCCTCCAAATTATAAAACCTTCTACTTTCAGCTCTTTGAATAAAATCATAGGTTGCAACATTGCACCTTTTGGCAGTTTGTCTAAATCTTCGTTGTATACACTTATGCATCCGCATATCGTGACTCGTCCTAATTCGTTCATTTGGTTCATTATTATAGTGCTTATCTCCCCTCCAACGTTATCGAAGTAGCAATCTACGCCGTTGGGTGCAGCCGCTTTAAGGCCCTTTTCGATATTGGCAGTTTTGTAATTAATAGCTTTGTCGAACCCGAGCTCCTTCTCTAGCCAGTTGACTTTTTCATCAGAACCAGCGAATCCGATAACTTTGCATCCCTTTATTTTAGCGATTTGTCCAACCAACGAGCCGACAGCGCCCGCTGCTCCAGTCACTACCACAGTTTCACCGGGTTTAGGTTTGCATATGTCCAAAAATCCAAAATAAGCCGAAACGCCTGGCATTCCGACTGTTCCTACGGCCAATGATTCAGAAAGTCCTTTCAGATCTGGTATTTTGTAAACGGTATCCGGGATATTGTTGCTTGGAATGATCTCATTTTCTTTAGCTATTGTATAATCGCACCATCCTTTGTGGGATACAACTTTAGTACCGATTGGATATTTTGGATCTCTCGATTCTTGAACAACTCCAACCTGAACGCTGAACTGATCGTAGGGTAATGTAAACGCTGAATGAAATGCTCGAAGATATGGATCTACGCTTATCCATTCCGCCTTAATCAATATTTCGCCGTCTTTCAATGGTGGAAGTTCATATTCAACTATTTCGAAGTCTGATCTTTTCGGAAGACCGTCGAATCTTTTCACTACGACGTACTTTCGTGCCTTCACCATTTCGTTCTGTAATCATAAATAAATTTTAATTTAACTATAAGATATGCCTTGGTTGGTTAATATTAAAAAGTGACATTTAAACCCTCTAGACTCGAATATACGTAACGTGAAATAAATTTATATTTTACGATCTTAGTTATAGTTGCCGGTAAGTATGAAGTAACTTGAGAAGATACGATAGACGCGTAGAATGTGAATGAGGTGTCAACTGTTATCGTATGCAGTAAGCGTTAAAGGAAACGACACAATAGGCAATATGAAAACACCGTCCGCCATGTTTCTACGTCACAATATTGTAAACAACATAATGTCAAACGCTGGTTATTCGTGGTCTTTCATTCATAAGTACGCCTTGATAATTATTTATTTCACGTAAAAAGATTGTTCAATGGTTTTATTTAGCTCACGCCGTTTGTTTTATTATTTATTCTTTTTTCTTTCTAAGATGTCCGCCGCTACCAAATGGCTGATAACAATTTTTTAGAGGAGTTGGACTACAATAAACTAACGGGCAAGAAACCTTGCAATAATGAGGCACAAATGAATTAAACAGAATGCGAAATAATAACTAAAAACTAGAAAATAAAAATAGGTAAAAAAACTTTTTAAGTTAAACGGTTTTACGTGAAACATACATTGCAATGTTTAAGATAAATGTGCTAAAAACAAAAAATAATAGAATGATAAACATATGCACAGACTAGACTAAAACAAAAGCGTGGGGCACTTCAATTGTCTACAATCGTTGATTAAAATGTTTGTTTTGTAATGTTACACTATAATTAGGCAGTTGTAATTTCCTTGAGCAAGAAAATAGTAAGTAATTTCCCCACCGTCTGCGGGCCAACTGCCTAACGACGAATTAAACGATTCTTCTATCACACATTAAGTCGATAATTTGTAGACAATTGACAATTGGAGGCATTGTTTTTGTTATTGTTACGAGTTTTTTTTATTGATAAGTATCAAAAGTGACCACTTCTGTCTTGTATCAACTTATTCCAAATAAAAGTTAGGTACGTGCCGGCACCTATACAGGGTGACTGGTGAATTACTATCAATATTTAAGGAGAATACTCGGTACATGATTCTCATTCGAATTATGTAAAAAAAATAGGCACTTAATTTTTCACAAAATTTCCGTATAAATAAATAAAGTGTGGACACGTTCCAAGTGTTCCAAGTGTGGACGCGTTCGGCGGCGTGCTTATACAACACCACGCCGCCGTGCGCGAGTGTGTGTGTGTGAGTGTATACCTAATCTGTAGGGTGTTCACACGATGCGTAATTAATTACATAACTTTTGGTTAACTTTACTTAGAAGTTTATTAATATTTAATGTTATATTAATTTTTATTTTGTCATATATGATCGTCAAATATCACGTCCTCAAGTATCGATAGTAATTCACCAGTCACCCTGTATATAACCTTTTATGTATTACTAGCTTTCCGCCCGCAGCTTCGCCCGCGTGGAGTTCGGTTATATCGCGTTTCCAAGAGAACCTTTAAAAGTCTGGGATAAAAACTATCCTATGTTCTTTCTCAAGGTCAACTCTATATCTGTACCAAATTTCATTAAAATCAGTTCAGTGGTTTAGGCGTGACAGCGTAACAGACAGACAGAAAGAGTTACTTTCGCATTTATAATATTAGTAGGGATTTGTGTATTTATATTACCAGTTACCACAATACGTTATGTATTTATTTGTTATACATTCATAAAACGATAAAACATTTTAACGGATACTTTAATGTTTCATCATAATAATTATTATTAAACGAAGTATAGGTAAAAAGAAGATAACAAAATATGTTGTTATTAAAACGAATAGGTAGGTCAAAAATAATTTACTTACATATTTCATGAACTTTATAATGTTTACATATAGCAGAAATATTGCGTCTTATATATTTATAAGATACAAAAATATTCAACGGCTATTTACCTAACTTGGAGTACAATACAGTACTATATCAAGGCTGTTGTTTATCTCCAATAAAATTTAATTATCGTTAGGCGATCAATGCGTTTTTGTCGTTACAGAAAATGCTCCATTTAAATTTGCCAGTCGTAAGATAGATAATAACTATATTATACGTACGTACTAACGTACTTTATCTTTAGAAGGAATAATAGATAGCTTTTTAAAAGATATTAACAAAATAAATAACCAACTGATACTGTACCCAGGTCTGGTCAAATACATGCAGGTATCCATTAACTAGCTCTTAGACCATAACATAACGTTTGAATTGGCCTTTCCTCGTCAATGATTTTAATAAAACCCTTTTATAGACGTTAGATGCAAGCGTCATAAAGGTGTTGAAAAAAAATTCATGTATAAAATAATATTAACAATAATATATATATAAAAATACGTCAAGAAAGTTACATCGGTCGAAATGAGGAAGTCTCATCGAATACCACTGACGCGGCACGTAGTGTTGTTCCCAGGCGAATATTAATTATATATTAATCATTGTTGTAATAAGAAGACACTCTTGGGGCATCACTATTAAGGTTTTAATATTAATTTTAGTAAGTCAAGTAATTGGTTCTCAAATTAAATAACCATTATATTTAAATAAAATCCATGTTTATAAACCCCTTCTGAATTCTGATGCATTGAACTTGACTAGGTAGAAGAGATAAGAAATGTTTTTATTTCAACTACTACTTGATGATAAGACATAAAAAATACTTTGAATATATATTTTTATAAACTATATAAATGTTTATAAACATCAGAAATGTAATGTATATTTATAAAATAAATTATAATACACTTTAGCTTAGTATCCACATAATTTTTCTCAAATTATATTGACACCGGAAGCATTTATGTTTAATGAATATATCATTTTATTAAGACACTAACATTTAAATCAGGTGATTCAACTACTCCGAGCTCAAGATATAGACTGAATAATTATTCCTATTTAAGAAAAAAACAATATAATATGACGATGGTACTGATTGTAACACAACAAAATGTTTATGTAATCGATTTATCTTAAGAATTTGACGATCTAATATTATATATACATATATACAAACTGTTTTAATGTTTTCTTGAATCCTATTTACCTTTTGTCACTTTTGATATAACTTTACAATAAGACAACTTAAAACAGGACTGCGCGCTGTGCTATGAAGATGGTGACTGAATAACAATATTTAAATCCTTCCATATTAGGTGTACAAACATCAATTACATCGTTGATTTGCAACATCTATTTATAACATTACAATAAGTAGCTATCATGAATAATAATTCTAATAAGATTTAATTTTCTTTGTCTTTGTAGTACGTTTCCCTTAAATAGGTTTAGGCGAATAAGAAGTAAAAAAAGTATCCAAAAAAACTTTTACTTAATTACAACAGTGCTTAAGAAGACAGTCATGAAAATTTAACCTACGTTTCAAGTTCATCTGTTAGGAAAATATTTTGAATTTTCTTTGTCTGTACTGATGAGGTGACTTAATAATATTTCCTTGCTGATTCTGTGATTTTATTTCAAAGACTTATCCTAGTTATATACGATACTCATTAAAAGAAGCAATTAGGTAGTGTGAAAAGATTTATAAAGTGCTAAAATCTGAGAGCTACACTTTTCTAATAACAAATGTTGCCAGCAAAAAAATTTAAATACTTCATAATATGAGGTATTTTGTACTAAATCTATATATCCAGTAAAAACATATATACCTATATATAAAGGTACCTCATATGCCTATTATTTTATTGCCAAATTTGTGTTTGCTGATTAATTATTTAATGAGTTTTTATACATATTATGCTATTATGAGACCCGTATTTAAATTTTGTTATAATAATATCTATTTATAAATTAATATTATGATAAATAAATGCTATATTATTAAGGCTTTGTGAAAACACATTTATTTACTTTATAATAACTTATTGGTTTTCAGGATTAATGTAAATAGTATGTCATCGCTAGTTTTAAATTTTGCTTGTCATTATTTCCATTAGATGTTTATGTAAATTATGAAACTGATTTACAGAAAGTGGTACGTGTGTAAGCCGGTAGTAATTTAATCGATTATAAAATCGATTTTTTTTTAGTAAAATCAGTTTTTTTTCTGCTTATACTCAATGCATTTTTTTTATTAATTATTATTATTTGCTATGAACTAGATTTCGAAACAATTAAGAATGTTCAGAATTATCATAACATTGGGAATTATAATTTTGATCATTATTTTGGTAAAAATTTTGGAATCTCACTTGTATTAAAAGTGAGGAGGATTTATGTGTTTTTATCTAATCTATGTATAGAAGTTTTGATTTTTCAAATTAGTAATTTCGAACTTCATTTACAAGTTACCATACAACAACACCTTGTCTTCAAGCTATGATGATTATAAATAAAATGTCTGGGGTATTGTTAGTTTAAACTATAATCAGAAATCTTAATTTTTTTATGAAAAGGAAAAATCATTATACATAGTTCATGATCTTATTTCTAATTAGAAAAAATCTTACAAATTGCATAGAAGAAGAGAAAGTATGCTGTTTAAAAAATCACTGTAAAAACTTCGCGGACCGATTCTAAGTATATTTTTTATTCGCCATAATGTTTTCAAATATAAAAAGGAGACATAATTAACTGTATTCAAACAAAGGGCATGTTATATTTGCGTTATACGTAAGGAGTGTTAAACAGAGAATAAAGAATAAGTTATTTGCGTTGTCGCTCATAGACACAACTAATTAGTTGTAATTTATAAGACATGTTACCTGTTGTTACATTTACGCGAAGATTTTCAGGTCAATCAATTGTATTCAGAAAATATTTGATGGCTAATCAAAACGCCTTCTTTTATGCATTATTAAATATTTTTTTCAAGTATGTTAATGGTGGTAAAGAAAAGATTTATTTACTTGCAATTTTGTATCGTCTAAAAAGCATTCAAAATTATTCATTTATAACTCAAACAATATATGACAAATGTAAGCTTGATTATAATTAACTCTCATTTTTAATATATTGATCGTAATAATTCAACGCGAAAATGTCAACATTATTTCATTGAAAATTATTTGGAAAACTTTTCATGACAATATAAAAACGAAGATCTATTTCAAAACTAATAAAGAGAACGTAACAGTCTTAAGAAAAATATATTTGACAAATTGACAGTACTAATAGTATAATCAAAATTGAATAGCTGATATTTAAAATAAACGAAATTTAAAATGGCCAGTGGTGACAATCAAGGGGTTCCGAAACATATGACTTACACTCAATCTGGAGTGCCTATAGTTGGTGCTCTTATAGATTATTTAACAACTAGCTATGAATATTTCCGACGAAAAACTTTTACCCAAGCTGAGAGGTTACGCGCAGAGGCTTCTAGAGCAAGTTTATCAGCGACTTTCTTGGCTGGAGTGTGCCTGTTATTAGGACTGGTTTGCAATGTTAAGTTTGAAGTTGTGACATATGATGAAGAACCTTTGCCAAATGATCTGCATTTTATGTTGTTGAGCAGAGATGATAAGTTGTACATAGATGATATTGACCTTTCGAGTTAGTACCGTTATATTCATCAAACGAAAATGATAAGAGTAGGCTATTAAATAAATGATAATATATCATTTGTATTTACAGAAGTCATGTGGTGCATTGAAGCATCTGATACGCTTGTGATTCTTATAAGTTCTTTGCTGATATGGAACGCCTCTAATGTGGTGTGTACCTATATTAATTTCTATAATTATATCTGAATTTTAGAATAGTTCTATCGGCATACGTAATAATGGAGGAATTCCCCTAGGCTAGCTATAATTGATTTAATTGACGTCTTAAGTACATAACTGAATATGTTTATAATGTATTAGTGTACACTATTATAATTTTGCCATTATTGAGAATCATACATATTTTTGGTTTGTAATATTTTTTTTAGCGTTCTCCTCTAAGCGAATATCTCTTTCTGCCGTGGCTTGGAGCAACTTTACGAGGTTTATTCTTGAGACAGGCGCCAACAGCCGGTGCTCTTATATACACCATAGCAGTCATCAATGGAAATGTCAATCCATTGTTCCTAACAACATTTTCATTTCTATTTCGTAAGTATTTTGATATAACAAGGAGAGAGTAGAGAGAGGAGCTTGGACGGTTGAAGTGAGAGTTTAACGCGGGTTAGGTAGGGCCTCTTAAACCTACACCTGGTTCTCAAGTCCCAGGCACTGTTGAAGTTCCTCTCCCTGCAACTCGATGGACCCAGAATCGGCACGGTGAAACTATGGAATGCTGAGAAGTTTCATCTCATGAGAAAGTTTGTGTTAAAAAAATAAAATTTTATTATATTTAACAGTACTCGAAGCTCGTCTTTGGTTGGAAATAGCGAGATTAGTCCGCGTGCGGTGGGAGAGGAACCATTTTGTTGGGACACCTGAGGCGCATTACGAAGTAGAAACTCTATGGAGTAACGAAGATGTACAGAGTATTGAAGTTGGCAACTTTGTATACTGATGATATATATTTTCCTTTATAAAGATATCATGAAATATATTTTGTAAAAAACTGAAGTATAAAATATATAGCATCTTATTTTTTCGTCTCATACACGGATTTTTCAGTCATGCTTGAATTAAATGTATTCTTTTTATTCTATTTGAATATTGTAATATTTTATGATAATAAATGAACGTTTCATTATAAAACTATATTTTATTTACAAAAGTCTTAAATATATATAAATTACTTAAATGTAAAATTATTACAAACGAAAAATTAACAATTATAACAACTAGTGTCAATTAAACAATAATCTCGTATTAAGCTTGTTAAAGGACTCTTTAGTCCTTTGATTTATGATGATTTAGATTGAATTATTAGAATAAATTATTCACCAACAAACATATCTAAAATGCAATAAATATCTACCAAACGCTACATTTATGAATCGGATTCATTGGTGATCCCGGTGGACATTGGAATTCTCTGGCGAAGTCCAGGGAATTAGAAAGCGTTCCAATGACACGGAATCTTCCTGGAGAGTGGACGGCTGTCTTTAATTTATTTCTCATCGCCTCTGGTCTCATCGCACCACACCATACCTGGTCAATAAATTAATTTTATACTATAATCTATATACACACGGCATCTTTCATTACACAAACATAAAGAAGAAAGTCTTTAAGTATTTTTAATGTTGTAAATGTGTTATTATAAGAATGTGATGAATTGAAATTCTGTCAATAATATATGTAAATATATCTACATATATACACAAAATCTTTCAAGAGAGTTAATCCACGGTTACATTTCTTATGAGAACTATGTCTATCTAAAGTAAGTATTTACAAATTTTTCTTCAACTTCCCCTATTTTATTGTCTTAGCCATGTCAAGACGATATAAGATGGGAAGTAGAAAAGAATTATAAGGACAGCTATTTTTCAAGATATCCATATAATTAGTGGCTTTTATCTTGTATCGTTACCCATAGCGTAGGCATAACGACATCTATTGAGAAAACAGTAAATACGTCCTATCAAATCAATTATTTCTCTTATTATCTTTAACAGAATTCTCGTCACCTATTAGTTATTAGGTAGGTGTAATTTAATTTTCTGGGAAAAAGTAAATAGGTACATTCCAAAAATGCCAATTTTTCTCTTTACAATATCTAACATTGTGGAAGTTAAGTTTTTTACAGATTCTCGTCTCAATTTAATGTTACCTGAGCAAAGTTGAGAAAGAACAGCTGTGTGCTGGTATGATTGAGTTCAGGCAAGGTCTCGTCAGCAGCGCCATGCTGCAGAAGCCAGCGTTGGTAAGCATGAAACGCCTGCTTCACGCCACCATTATCAGCTATGTTCTCACCCTTTGAAATCACACATAAATATTATTCAATTACATATACTCGTAATAATCAGTATAACTTACAAAGAGTATAATACCATTTGTATTTGGCAAGATAAAAGTGTTTAAAAATGTTATGGGACTACTGTTTGGTGATATAATATTGGATTTTGATAACGAGATCTTTGATGTTTAGAATGCAACTACAAAGTACCTAAATTTTTATTCAAGTTAAGGACATTTGGAAATTAGTGTACTGAAGTTGAATTTGCAAACATTGTAGTAAAGTCACTAATATGATTAATATTTTAATATGGTTTTAATTACAGTTTTTTTTTTATATCAAAGGTGGCAAACGAGCAGACGGACTACTTGATGGGCAGTAGTGACTGTCGCCCATAGACATTCGTAACATAGATGTTACGGATGCGTTGCCAACCTTGATTGTTGAGGAAAAGGGAGGAGTGGGAACAGGGAAATAGCAAAAAAGGGTGAGCATAGGGAAAAGGCAACCGGCTCTCTCACGGATCGGACGAAACGCAGCCACTAAAGGCTAGTTCACGCCGATCTAGAAGTAGAATGTTTTGTTTGAGACTGTGATTCACGTGATAGTCACCTGTGTGTTAACACCATCTAGTTTCATATTGACTTCTGGCACCACGTATCGTCCATACTGGTCGATGAGGCATTGAGCTCGACGATGGAATGCCTCGATGGCTGAATCAGACCACCAGCGGTGCAGGTTACCCTCGCAGTCAAACAGACGGCCTTTGTCGTCAAATCCGTGGGTAATTTCATGACCTTAATCAGAATCGATAAGTATGTTATGTGAAAAGGTTTTATTGTTTTAAAGAAAATCGTATTTGTGTGAAATCTTGAAGTACATAATATAACATTAAGTATGTATTAATATCAATTATATAAATTTTATTTACAGAATAGTCTAAAATATTACATAAGAAATGATATATAGTTATGCCACTCATTGATAGAAATCATTGTATGTACTTATAATTCATTTTAAATAATTTATAATTAGATATATTTCTTAAAATAAAAGGCAATACGCTACAGCATACAGTTCAATCCTTTAAGTTTAATTAACCGCTATTGTATGGGTCGCTGTACTAAAAACATATATTTTTAATGTTATCTTAAAAGTAGTAGAGTAAGAATTGAATTTTCCAACATAAAATTAATTTAAAATGTACATTAAATACATAAAATCATGAATATTATTTACCAATAACCACTCCAATGCCTCCAAAGTTCAATGACCTCGGGAAGTGTCGGTGATAGAATGGTGGTTGTAGGATCCCAGCAGGAAACATGATCTGATTTTTATTACGACTGTAATACGCGTTCACCACCGCCGGTGCCGTGTTCCATAGTGTCTTGTTAACAGGCTGACCGATACTGAAATATGTAAAAAAATAGGTTAAAAAAATTACTGATATAGAAACATGGATAATATTAACTTTAAAAAACATGTTAAGTAACTCCAGGAGACGTGTAAAGAGATTTAGGATAGAGTGGGCAAAACATATGATGGTGATTAATTTATTTTAACACACATCATAGCTAAAATTTTCCATAAATTGTTAAAAAATTCTAATGAGGTAATAAAAATGTATTTACTTGCAGTGGGATAGGTATAATATATGTAAAAAAAGAAATAGACCGTGAACACGGGAAATTATTAGTCACGTTACAGTCAAGGGTTCAGTTTTGATGATTTCTTTAAGAAATTAGGTTGCGAGAGTTTTGACATGACGTATTTGTATAGTATTAAGAAGAGAATACTTATAACGGATATGTCGACTGAAGAACCAATTTTACTAAACTATAAATCAAAAGATTATAAATCTGTGTGAGCGTTCGTAATGAGTTATGTATGAACGGAAGTATGTTAGTAAGTACATAACGATTTAAGTCCAGTTGTTTCCATGTTGCTTTCTAAGAATAAATGTTAAAACAAACTATTCAATAACTATGAAATAATGATAGTTAAAAAGAGTAAAGAGGTAATGATAATATAAATTAAAACAAAAATATTATTTACCGCGACTGTTCCATTTTAGTAAGATGTTGTAATATATTTAGAATATTCTCGAAATATTTATCTGGATGTATTTGCACTTCCTTATAACGATCGTCGAGCTCTTTCTTGTTGAGAATGAAGTCTGGGTAGCCTATTCTGAGCATCATAGAGTCCACTTTATGAGCTGCTAGTTTTTTTGTCTCCTCATCAATCCAATCCGTCATGTGTAGTAACTCTCTGAACGCCTGTTGGATTTCCCTCGTCATAGTAAGTGTGTCGTTTTTGCTCATCTCGTCAAAGTATTTTCTAACAAACATTGACCCTAATGCCATTCCCATGTTTGAGTTCACTTGGGATATACAGTTCTTCCATCTAGGTGGCGCTTGTTCGCGTCCGAATAAAATGTAATAGAATCTTGAAACAAAAAGTTTCTGTATAATAAACCTTCTAAAGTAAGTACATAATATAGTTTTGATATATTATACTTACTGTTGTTTAGCAGATTGGAAGCGATCATCAAGATTGTTGACTCGGTGTCTCACGAAACGCCACAACAAGTAATTTGATAAAGTATTAGGATCCGTCTTCTTTATCAATTGAACCAAGTGCTAACAATAAATGAAACACACTTGTTATTTTTTGACGAATAGAATCAAGGTCAGTATTACTAATATTATAATAGCGAAAGTTTGTGCGAATTTCTTAATATACGTTTCTTAATCTTTCAAATAATGCTGCATATATTTCGATAAAAATTCACAATCATATAGCTTATATTATTAGGATGTCATATAGGTTAAGATTGATACGAGCTTTCTATATAAGTCCACCGGGATCAAGAAAATAGTTGTATTGTGTGTAGGTTCTATCCATTATTTAAAAAATGTTAAGACATTTCTCTCTGACTGCTACTCCGACATTCAAGCGGACGAATTCAGAGCAAAAACTAGTATTTAAATGAAAGTTTCACATTACATTTAATTGCAAGCTTATGGTCCATACCTCGAAACTTGGTAAAACTGATTTTTCTACAAAATTATTGTTTTAAGAACAAAATAGACAACATACCCGTACGTACGACAAAGCGAACAGTACTACAGTTTCGCTTGAATCAATCGTCCTGTTCATTACGATGCACAAATATTTCCTCCACTTAATCTCGGGGACCAGTCCTTCTAGCTTAGCGAGTGTCATGCGTCGATAGAGTTCTGATACGTTACGCCTATCTTCTGGTGCAGAAGTTATTTTTGCAAGGCTGTTGAAGTAATTCGCTTATAATAAACATTATAAAAAACATAAAAATTGCTGTAATTAATAAATGACAAATGTAAAGGATTCAAAAAAGGCTATCCAAATTAAATATCTTGGTACTAACTTGATTTCAAAATCAATCAGTTTTACTGCACTCTCTTTTACATGATCAATGTCTCCACCGAGTAAAGTTGCTATTTTTATCAAATAAGCCCTATAACCCTCTAAATATACCTTGTTAGACTCTTGTAGAAAATAATCTCTTGTTGGCAAACCTTAAAAAAATGTCCTACAACATTAAAAAATTGTTTTAAAACAATATTAGTATTATATTCTTAATTACCTAGACTCGTTTGATCAAACTGTATAACGAATTCATCGGAGTTCTTTATATCTGGTCCAACCCATTCAGATATTAAAATATCATTATTATATAGTCTCAGTTTTGCCATAAGTTCCAACCAGTCGAAATTTTTAGGATCCCATCCTGGTTTTAGTATCGGCCAGCCTCCTAAAATATCAAGCAGATCTAAAAGAGGTACGTGACCCCTTTTCTGTAGAATATCATGGTTCATACAAGACTTAAATAAAAATCTAGCTTTCAATGCTGCGTCGCCATTGGCTGGGTCGTTTTTGGGTAATTCATAGTTCTGTTTAAGATTATCCAAAAGTTGTTCCAATGTTTCTTTTCTTTTACCCCTTTTAAAATGTGTTTTTCTATTGAAACCGTTTTTATCGAATATTATATTCCGTTTTTTCTTTTCGCTATGGTTCCGTATATCATTGTTATCATCGTGTCTTTTTTGTCTCCTTAAACTTTTCCTCTTTTTATTGTTCATGAATAGATACTCGTGTAATTTGAATTTAGTTTTAGTTGAAGATTTCTTCATGTCCCGTGATTTCATATCAAGATATCTTCTGATGCGATTTATTATTTCAGTTTTGCTCTCGTCTTTATTTTCATAGGTATTTTTTCTCTCAGTCAGATTGAGTATTTCTTTGGAGTTAGTAATAATATAATCAACCATATCGTGAGTTTCTTGCGAGCATTGTGAGTTTATAGCATGTTTTAAATTATCATTAAAATCTAGATGTGGCCCCGGATATTGGCTAGGTATCTGTTCATCTTTAGAAAACTGCAACATATCCCTTAATACCGTATCCAAATTCTCCCTCAACATCTCAAATGTATCGTAACTGTAATATGAATTACGGTTTTAGAAATAGTTTAGAACTGAGGCTTAGCTTAGAAGTAAGAAATAGCTTAGAATCATCAAAATAAAGCTATAATTATTTGGTTATTTTTTGATATTTTATTAATGTTTCGATATTGAAGTAACCAATATCACAGACAGACGAAGTGTAACCGCCTTTAAGGTCTTAAGATAATCAAGTTTTCATATTATTTTCAGGTACGGTAAAGAATTCAATAACTTTTTCACAAAAAAAAAACCTATTTGAGGAAAATATGTTTTTGCCATAACACTATTCTCTATCCATATATATTAACTAATTAACTATAAATATGCATGTATGAATAGCATATTATATTCTATGTAAAAACAATCTGTTCTTAATATAAGAAATTGCAAAGTTAAATGCAACCTTTCTTAATTAAATTCGCTTAAGAATATAGTCCCTACTCAGCTTATAGCTAAATTTTATTGCTAAAGATACGTATTTAATGAATTTGACCATATTATAAAATTACTTACCCAGCTTTATCAGCTGGTATGGGATTGAGTGTTGGCCAATTTCCACAAGCATATTGATAAAAATCATGACAAGGATCGGCCTCAGCATCCATGTATTGCCTCATTATTTTTGACTGCGTGTGTCTTATAGTTTCTTTGTCACCTTGACCCTTCCAAAACGCGTGCACCCCTGTTAATAAAAATATAAAAACATTCCATTTAGTACTATTGAACTTGACTCATTTTGTTCACTCAATTGGATAATGACGCGGCAAATGGCTACAATACTTCGACCTACTCTACGTACGAGTACGTTGGACAATGACCCATAAATATATAAAATATGTATAAAAGAAACGTTATATATAACTGAAAGTTAAAATTTGGTGAATTCTTCGCTTTACATCGTATTATTGTTAACATTTGACTAGATATATTATCATTATCATCATCATCAGCTAAAAGACGTCCACTGCAGGACATAGGCCTCCCCCAAGGATCAAGATATATTATGATCGAAATTAATAAGTCTTAAGTCTTAGCAGAATTCTATTTTTCCGTTGCAAAAAGTCCACTTTAATTTAATATATCCTAGGCTAAAGTGTTAACAAATCTTATTTAAACTGTGGTTACCTGTATAAGATCGAACAGGTTTGTATAAATGAGCAGCGGAACCCATTTCACCTTCCTCCAGTTCAGGTTGTCGGCGAACTTGTTCTACATCGTCTAATGGACCACGATCAACGTAAATCTCTGGATGCACCACACTTTATAAAAAATATGAATCTTTACGTTAGAATTAATTATAATTTAAAAAAATCCCTTCTAATAAAGTACATACAACAATTTTTTTAATAATTATATTGTTTACTAGTAAAAGTACCATGATTCCCAATTAATATAATCATTTTAAATACCTATCGATTTAGGAAGTTCTATGCATTTTTTAATAATGTTTTCTATAATATAACTCTCATAACCCAGTTAAAACTAATTTACGATTACAATCTAATCAGAAGATAAATAAGGAAATAATTAGATTGTAATTCATCAATATCTATCTTGGGCTAGTTATTTTATATGGAGAGCCATTGTGAGCATACTGTAATTATACACTATTGCTGATGAATATTAATATAAATTGCTCACTTACTTTATTTGGATGAAAACAAATAATTAAAAACTGTTTTACAAATGATAGAATATTTAATAAAGTTAATGTAATACCTTTGCATACTTCTTTCTTCGTCGTGTTGATCGCTATCACTGCCATATTCAATTTCCTTTTCATTTCCACCGTCTTCATCTTCTTGTATATCTTCGACATTTTGTATGTATTGTATTGGTGTTTCTTGACTAAAGTTTTTGTAAGGAACCGTGAATAAATAAATTTTGTATGAATTAAAACATCTCTCATTTATTTAATATATTGGTGGTGGAATAAAAAAAATATATAAAAAAATATACACTATTTAGTTACGTAATGATAAAATGTTATAAAAATACCCACTCGTAATCTTGTGTCGAGAAAGTAGAATGGCTTCCCCGTTTAACCCTTGTGGGATTTTCTCGTCTTTTTTCTTCCCATTTATATATATCGCTCGTCACATTACTGTCTAAAACTTCGTCACTATCTTCAAATCCTTTCCTCGATAACACCACCTCCTCCGGCGGCAGGAATGATGTTTGGAATCCTTGGAACACCTCCCTTTCTTCAGGGTCAACACCTTCCAAACGTGTATATATATTTGGAATGTTTTTAACAGTAAATTGATCAGACGGATCTCCTAATGTATCTAAAGGTCTCCTCGAAATAAAGTATGCTACAGCACAGAATAATGTTAAAACAATAATAATTATAAATCTACAAAAATTGGCACTTTTCGGTTTGATCGAAACTGTTTGGGGTGTTGAGTCAACGCGCGCCATGACAGCCTCTGACTGAAGCCGTCAGAAAATGGTCAGAGATTTGTAACTGGAACATCTCGTATATAAACTACTTACATAATGGTTATTGTAGCTTGACCCTGGGGCCGCAGAACGCGTCAGAAAATTGTGAGCAATCATTCACGACTATATTACTTAATATCACGTAAATGATACAATATTATGTTCCTGGCTGGAAGTGTAAATTTCACATACAATTAAAAAAAAACTTGAAGTGAAAAGAAAGTCATTGAATTTATTGTGGTGAATAAACAATAAATAAAAATGACATCGTTTGCGGAAGTAACGAGACAAGTGAGACAAATTAATGATTTGATTTTATCGGATATGAAAAATGGTAATTCTCAAAAAATAATATTTACATATCTACATTATTCGTAACAAGATAAAAAGAGATTTAACGTAATATTCTCATGTGTTTTGGTCAACAAATCCTCTCTAAATGGATTAGACGAGTCAGAATTAAATTATTCGAATTGGATTCCATAATTACATATCAGCATCATATAAATTATACATGTCCTTTTAAAATGACAATGCGATAAATCAAAGTTAAAAACTTATGAAAGTACAATACGAAAAATAGTAAACCTTTGTTGAGTTTGATTAAAATATGACAGACCATTCTCATTTATATGTAGCTACCTACAAAATAAAATTTTTATCCTTATTACATACATTAAGTCAGTATTTTTGGTATTAAAATTTTTTATTTCATCACGTTACAATATATGAGTGTTAATAGTTTTTCATTCATAAATCAACATTATAGTATTGACGTAGGTTGAATGAGAAATGGGTAATGCTTGGTATGTAGCGTAAAAATGCAAATTTGTACTAAGCAAACACAACCTTATCATATTAGAAAGTTTATTTTAACATTTAGTGAAACCAAATTTGTCTTAAAATGTACTTACTAAGAGTTCTCCTATTTACTCTTAGGTCTTTTATCATAATGAGATTTAAGGTTTTCGCGAGTTTTATTCATTTAAATGAAACTAATATTTTTCTGATTATACTACGCGACTTTATTTTTTTGAAAAACTACATATTCCTGACGTTTCGGCAACTTTTCAGCAATCGTGATCACATCTCGTCTGCCGGTAATTCGAAAAATATTAGTTTTATTTAAAGTTTTATATAATTTTTGTAGGAAGCAATGACCAAACAGTTCACACGGCATCCCAGACGACAAAGACACATTTATGTGCTACAAAAGACTGGTTCCTCCGAATATCTTGGGCAAATAAGAAGAAATTTCTACTCGTATTGATAGATGATGTTAAAAAGATATGGACTTTGTCACTGTTGTTGAAGTCTATTTGGAACTGTCGGCCCAAAGATGCAGTGATGTCTATATGCGAGTGTGTATTTGTAAGATTTAAATATTTTGTTTATAATAATTCTCATCTGTAATTTACATCTACATGCCGATTCCTTATTGATTCCCTTAGCTACAATTTTTACATATTAGTTAGTTACGGAGTCGGTTCGTAACTTATTAATATGTAGTGTAACTAATATATAATTTCAAGATATTAATATTTTTTTTCATGGAATGCCCCATAACAGTCGTCACAGAATACGCATAAAGCTTCTTAGGGATTTATAAGTACATTAATATATGTATTGTTTTTATCAGAAAGAAGATTTGGAGCAGTTACGATCAGATACCAATGGATCACGATCGAACGGCTTTGCCAAAGACTAAGCTGATGGAAGTCATGTTGAATGACAGGAGGTGGTTCCAGTCTCTCGAACCTGTGGGTCACGAATATATTTGTCTGATAATTTTAATTATATACAAAATTAAGTACAGATGAAGCAGGCTGTTCCCTTATATGTTTTAAGGTTCTTCTTGGATATACGTATAAACATAGGTGGTATGAATGAGACGTATAAAATTAATAGTTTATTTCACCCGTTAGACAGTTTGTCAAATCATATATATGTATAATGCATCATTATTATGATTTGTTATTTAACTGTTTTTGTATATTTTTGGTTGGATGCTTTGTAAAGTATAATTTTTGTTCATTAGGAAGATCAAGCGTTGGTTCTAACAGAGTTGTTAACCATATCTGGAGGGCCAATTATGTGGGATGTGATGAAAAGAGCTGAAAAAATTTACCAACAGCATCAAGAAATACAGTTACAGAACTTACTGGAATGCGAAGTTGTTATAGAGCCACCTCCCGAAAAGAAGATCTTACCTGAACCGGTAGTCTTTTATTCCAAAATGCAGAACAAATTTTGAATTCTATAGTCTATGTACTCTTGTTTTTGTACAGGTTTATTTTCGTCCTTAGTTTGGGGACTGGAAATTGGTCTTCAAAAACATGAAAGTCTTTATATTCAATATATTTATAATATTTTAGATCTTTGTTTTATGTAGAGATTTTAATTCAGGTTAAAAAAGATCAAACACCACGGCGTAAGAGTTCTGTTAGTCAAAGTGCGGAAACAAAGGCTGTGACGGGTCAAGCTCAGAGAGAGGTATGTTAAATTAAAAAATAATTATAGGTTTGACCTATAATTATGTTTAAATTTTTTTAAAACTGTGTTTTGCACAGAAGTGGTACTCATCGTTTTCCATTCCTTTAATAAAACGCTTGTCATTACAAATTTTAGTTGGAAATAAATTTGTCACAATGGGCATCTACAGTCAAATCTATTAAAGATAGTTTGAAGCTAGAAGAATTAGAGATGACTTTCAAAGACGGAACACAAAAGAAAATATGGAAAGTGAATCGGCCGAAACCTGAAATTGTTGAAACAGTTGATATGGTATTTATATACAATGTGTTATTTAAACGAGCAATGAGGACCGAACGATAAAACAATAATAAACCTTAATAAACCCGTTCATTTATGTATGTACTTAAATTGAACATATAAACTAAATCAATCTCAGCAGACCTTTACTCGATAAGTTTCAGTTTTGTCTTGGAACTTCTAACCTTGGAATAATTTTTATATCCTATTTCTTTAAAATTAATATTTTGTATCAACAGATCCAGTTACTGCCGTCTTCAATAAGCAAACGCATCTTTATGTATCTGCCTCTAACTCAACTGGGAGATTGTGCTAGAGTTAACAAATATTGGTCTTTTCTGGTCGATGAGTTGAAAGCAGAATTCTCAGCAAGACAGAAGATAGATATTGAATTGGAAAAAATGCGTGTAATAGATTTTTTTTTTACAAATATTGCATAGTGATTTTATTAATTTGTCAGAAAATATGTAGTATGACTGTATATCTTATTGTATTTAATTATTTAATATATAATTGTTTATAAAACAATAGGACAACATAATGCGTCATGAACCAAATTTGGATCTCATGAGTAAATCTGATTTCAACGAGATGACAACTTTGGACTCAACGTCAATGTTTACGAAGACAAATGAGCCTACTAATGTCGATGAAAAAAATAAACCAAGCACCCACTCTTTTGGGGCAAAACGACGAACACAGTCCCAAAAAAAGAAAGGATATATTGTATGTATTAAAAATATTATACAAACAAGCCAATCCTTAAGGTATAATTTTGACACCAATTTCAACGCACTATAATGTACTTTCACGATCATACACCTTATTTAAGGTTGAACCAAGGCAGAAGTAGGCCAAAATATATCTATGGTCAGTCATTCATGAATATTCCCCTGTGTGGTTTATCTTTTAAATATCAGTTTTTTTAATTATTATTAGATCTCTCCATGTGACCAGAAAATAATTAAAGATTGTCGTTTTCAAAATATCGTTACCATTTCTATTAACATTTTTACTTTACGAGTTCGTCGTGAAATTTAGAATTAGTTTTAATAATTTCAATTCGAATCTTTCCTCTGTGTTTAATATGCTGTTCATAGTTATCTTAGTTTTAATCCAACATATTAATACTATGAAAGTAATGCTTTTCTAAATGTCATTTTTCAGATACCTTTTCGAGACATGACAGATCTTAATGAACGATTGGAGAGACGGGGTGCTGCTGATAGAAGTTTATGGAAATGGTGTTCCAATGTCATCAAGATAAACAAGAATAATATTCGTCTCCAAGTATGAGAAAAATGTCTACTTAGGACCATTTTTTTATCGAATACTAAAATAAATGAAATATTTTGTTTTGGTTTAGAATAACGAACAATCCGAGGGCTTATTGACACTCGAAAATCCTCATTTTCCATCTTGTTTGATGTCTCAAAATTTAAAACTACCTTTGGACCCACCTCTTACTGTGGATCCTTCTGATAAGTAAATAGGTTTCTTAAATGTTCATAACAATAGGCATATAATTATAAAGTAATAGCAGTAGAATTGTATAGTTTAGTGCCAGATTCCTGAACTTACTACATTGTATAGTATTACTTAATTTGGCAAATTTTACTATGGCTCAGGTTTAAAACAACTTTTTTTAATGTTACTGATACTACTTATCTCTTAAATTATATTGCAGTATACAAACTGTTCACGGAATTCACATTAAACCTACGTCAAACATTACCCAATCCAAGGAGCTAGAAATATTTGAAGAAGAAAAGACTCAACGTTACAGTCTGTGGTCTAAAGATTTTTCAAGTCTTTATCCAGTTTGTAAAGTACCTTCTCATCAAGCGCCATTTTAATTTGCATAGAGCTTTGAAGCAATCAATATATTTTTTTTAAATATATGTTTTTATAAAATATTTATTAAAGCAAAGTTTTAATGACATCGATTCGCTTTTTATTTTTGTATCGAATGTATACATTATATTATCAGACATCCGTTAAGTATAAATTCTCATTAGTCATTTATTTTGAATATTCTGATTAGTTATTTTAAAAAAAACACTGTGATCAGTTCCTAATTTGTGTCCATTTGAATGATTTAATTTTTAGTTTAATAAGTACTCTATACGACTATTGAAATCATAATATATAGTCTATTGATTGAATTAAAAACATTCCTAATATATATAAAACAATTATGCTATACTCTAAAGAAAATTCGAAACAAACTTGTATGTTTCACAAAACACTTGAGATGTGATTAAGGTTTCTAAACGTTACTTCACCGTCACTTGTTCCATTTAAGAACGTTTGTCACTGTCAGATATTTACGATTGTCAAGTTGTCAATACATAATTACTTCTATGTACATATTTTATCTGTACGTTTGCTCAAACGTTCGCCAAACGCTTCCATAAAAATATTTTTTTTTTGGTAAAGCAAACGGGCAAGTATTTTGATATCGCGTAACATGACAGCTATTCGTAATTAATTGCGATAGGTGATAAAAATAAGCCACTAACAATGAGTAAGCATATGTATTCCACCGCAAACTTGACCGATAAAGAATTGAAAGAACAAGGAAACAGGTTGTTTAGTTTGAGGAGATTCGAAGATGCTATGAACTGTTACACGAAGGCTATCGTGAGTATAGAGAATGTCTGTCATATCTAAAACGATAATCAACAATAAATTAGTAACTAGAATATATGAAATAAGCAATAATATTGCAGATAAAAAATCCATCTGTAGCCACATACTTCACAAACAGAGCGTTATGTCATCTCAAGATGAAGAGATGGGAGGCTACGTGCCAGGATTGCCGAAGAGCCCTGGATATCGACAACAACCAAGTGAAAGGTCATTTCTTTCTAGGCCAGGCTCTGGTTGAGTTAGACTGCTATGATGAAGCTATCAAACACTTACATAGAGGTATTTATTTACAGTATACATACATTTAAACAGTATATCATGAGATAGAATAAAACTGTATTAATATGACATATTACATTTCTGTGTAATGTATTTATAACATTGTTTAGTCGAAAGTGCAGAATTAAAACTAATAAATAAGCCTTTCAATATTATTACACAATTGAAAGTAATTTTGTTGTTATCTACTCGAATACTTTGAATTAATTATCATTTAGAAAGTCATATTCAAATTAAAGGTATAAATTAAACATGTTTTGAATAAATATGCAAAAGATCTCTTATGAACAAAAATATCTCAATGAGTATTATCAAATTGAAAACATTATTATCTAATAGCTTGGATTGCTTAATAATATTTCCTTATTCTATACTAAAAATAACTGATAATAATATATTCATGCATATATTTGAATATTAATCATTATAAGTGGAAAGTTACTGCAATTAGCCAACAAATTTATATTATATAATTTTCCAGCCAATGATTTAGCAAGGGATCAAAAGCTGAATTTCGGCGATGACATCGCAGCTCAGATAAGAATTGCAAGAAAGAAGAGATGGAATGTACAAGAGGAGAAGAGAATATCGCAGGAGATTGAACTGCAGACTTATTTAAATAGGTGAGTTTATACAAATTACATATATTTTTTTTTATTTTATAAAACACAGTATGGATTTTGTTTCTTGCCAGATACTTATTCAGTGTAAAGTAAAAAGTTCCAATATGCTATTTGTTTATTAAACAGTTTTGTTTTTATTTTGCAATCATGACAATTTACAAGATGAGTGTCTCTGAATGTTTGTTTGATCACAGTTGCTGTTAAGTAAATAAAATATTGGAGTAAATGTAATAATATTAAATTGTTTAGTATTCAAAAGTCAACTTTTCATTGAAATGTGAATTTATAAAAATTAAAGATATCAATATTATGTTATTTGTTTTTCAAAAGATGTAAGTGTAATGATCATGTTTTAAATTAATATACAGACTATATAAAAAGAAAATATATAATGTTCATATTATATTAATTATTATCATATTTTATTTTGGATCTATATAAGATTTCTGTTTTTTACTTCAGTAGACAGATTTAAAATAAAAAAGCAGTGGCTTTTATAAGACTCCATTAAGATTCTTTTCAATACAAAAAAGAAAAAAATTTATAAAAATCAAATGTTTTTGTTAGACGCAATACAAAATAATGTATACAAAAATCCACATTATAGCCGATAGTATATATTTTTGAATCTAAACTTATTATTTAAGAAGTTCTATGAATTCGCATCCCCCATGTAAAACGATTTCATAAACATATATGTTTAAAGATAATGTCTCTCTTTACTTAAATTTTGATAGGTATAAAATACTTCTAAATAAAGACTTGTATATTTTTTGACAGTAATTTTCTTTCTATCCATTTTTTGTGAGTTTTTTCTTTTATTTTAGTCACTTAATTACATTACATCTGAATAACTTGATAAAACAGCTACAAATGAGCTCTTCATAGAGAAATACTAATATTATTGTACATACATTGTATTGATGTTTCGTTTTCTAAATAGGTTCCTTTTTTAACTATAGGTTCACATGCATTGCTTTATATTTGTAAATATTAAAAGTTAGAATCACAAAAATGCTGGCTAGTTTACCATTGTTTGCAAAATTCCAAAAAAAGGAGGAAATATATAACATTCTAATATATTTTCTGTATTCCTTGCAGGCTTATTAATGAGGACATGCAACGTAGAATAGAATCAATAAAAATAGAAAACATTAATGAAGAAGAAACAAATAGTAAAATTGCTAAAGTGGAAGAAGAATGTGTAAGTATTAAAAAATTATAGACTTCTTAAAAAAATCCAATCAGATTTATTTTATTAAATTAAAATGATTCTATTTATTTTTTTCAGAATAACTATAGCAGTGAACTCAACAATCTATTTTCAAAAATGGATGAACGAAGGAGGGTGAGTATTTATATTATTTCATATATACAGTCGTTATAAGCTGATTTTTTTACGGTCAAATTAAAAAAAAATCCTTGTAAGGAGTTCTCATTACTGTAAACACGTCATAATGACGTTTGAGAGCCGATTTTAGTATTGCGTGTGAAGCTAATGAGATCATTTCATGTACAACCCACACCGGTAAAGGGATTACATATGAATGGTCCTAAAATAGCTGTCAATGAAAATAAAAGGTTAACTAACGAAAGAAAATTCTCGAAGATTCAACCAAGGTAGTCCTAGCATTGGGTCTTATGACTGTATTCGATAAGATATTTAATTGTATTAAGAAAGACAAATTTTCATTAAATTCAGTAGAAAATTTTGAGAAACTAAATCCTTATACACATAAAATGGCTTTTTAGCACAAAATAATGTTATATATTTATTTATTTATAGCCATAAAATTGGATATTATTAAAGGAAAGATCTCGAAACATCTATGACAAGTCAATTTAGCATAAGAAAAATGGACGCATTCTGAAATATTAAGATTCTATTACACTCACTGTTACATAAAAATAACCGCTTTAGAAAAGATTATTTCTCACATAAGTGTTATATAATGAAACACGTTTGTTACATCTTTTTAACCGTCTTCTTTATAGAATATATTTATATAATATGTAATATCCATAGTAATGTAAAAAATTAAGAAATCCTTTACAGGCAGCGTTAAAGTAGTAAGACTTACTATCCAAATATACATGGAGACGGAGTCTAAACGCTCGAAAAATTTGGCCCTTCAATATCACGTCAGAGACTTATCCAGAAATATTTTCTAGAAACGCGATGTACCAGATTACCTCTGCGGCAAAATAAGCTTCGAGATTCTGAATGAGCCTGTCATCACACCTAGCGGGATAACGTATGAGAAGAAAGATATTGAAGAACATCTAGAGGTAATAATAATTATTGTAAGGTAATTTAGGATAAGGTAAGGTAATTCCTCACACTATGCAGGGAGCGTTTGCAGTTTTTTATTCAATAACCCAAGTTGATATTAAGCTAAGCCAAGATAAGCTAAAACAAAGAAATTGCTGGACATTGGTCAGTAAAGGGGCAATTGAGAAAGGATAGCCCCTTAGAAAAGTTTCCTTAAGTAATTCTATAGAAGAATTACTAATGAGATTGTATAGATTATTTTTAATTAACTATAACAGTCTGTATATAGAAATAAATAAATGAATAAGTTTATGTATACAAAAGGAGAATATGGAGTTTTTTTTCATTTATCTTAATACTTATTGGAGATATATTACATGTATAGATAAATTTTGAAAATTTTTGCGCTCTATATGAGTTTATGATCTATAGAACGTATGCTTAAAAAACATCCATTTAATAATGTAATACATATATTTATATACAAAAATATGTTTAATTCCAGCGCGTCGGCCATTTCGATCCTGTGACACGTGTGAAGTTAACAGCGGACCAGCTCATACCTAACTTCACTATGAAGGAGGTTGTGGACGCCTTCCTCCAGGACAACGAGTGGGCGCTCGATTATTAATCGATTTGATATCGATTTTACCGACATGGCGATTACGTCACTAGCCATAACCGGAATATCTATGCCTTCATACCTATATATCGTCGGGGATAGTGCAAATCCGCGTCACTACCATTGGATAATTCAGCGTATCTGCAAAGCAATCAGATTATCAGAAGTTTAAGCTGAAATATTTTCTATATTAACGACGTTCAAGGTATTTTTGTAACAAGTAGTAATTATTTAGTGTTTAATTTATTACTAATTGTAAAAAAATACCTTAAAAGTCGTTAATATAAAAAATACTTCAACTTAAACTTTCTTCTGATAATTCTATTCTATTTCCAATGTAGATACGCGGTATTATCCAATGGTAGATACGCGGATTTGTACTATCCCCGCTACTACTACTATATGTAGATCGGTATAATGATTAAAAAGTAACATCACCTGTTTTTGTTTTAATTATTAAATATAATAACTATTTAATTATTGTTGATTTAATATTGATTCGATTATTAAAGTTATTTGATGGAGGGTAGAAACATTTTTTTATGTTCCTAGTTTAGTATGACTTATGACGTAATTGCCATTACGAGTAATGTCACAACATATAACATGTAGTCTAAGTTTTTCATATGTAAAACATTAATTAAACAATTTAGATATTTTGTACGCGTCATTCAATATTTAATGATTACCACTTTAATATAAAGAAACTGTTATTTCATTTTGCAATGATTTCAACACTGCTTAGATTTTTTCAATGAAGAGAATTGAATTTTATTTCATTCTAATGAAATTACATACATATTTCTTATCGAGGCTGCATTGTTTTAATTCTTCAGAATTAATTTTTCAAATAATTTTTTTATCTGTGAAGTGTGACAGATATTTTTTTTAACAGAAGATTGTTATTTTAAACTAGTTTTTAAATGTAAATATTGGCTTATTTAACTATGTATCTGATATCATTTTATGTAATTTAAGTTTTATTATAAGGTAAGGCGTTTATTTTAAGAATTGATAAACTTTATTTAACGTTTGCTTCCATTTAGTTATCAGATAACAATTTGAATTAAGAAAAATATTTAGATCTCGTGACCGCTTCAGTCGTTTAAAAATATTTAGTTCCATCACTTGCTTATTTTTTGTTCAGAAATGGTAACACTGGAAGAAAATTGTTTTATAAGACTAATAAACTCAGAAGAATTAGATGAATACTCTTATTATTTATTTCCCAATATCTTTGCCCTCTTTGATTAAAAACGCCAAAGAAAATATCAAATTCGTACCATTAATAAGTATCTCTGATAGTAAGTACGGCTTTGTAACAGGAAATTTAGCAACAAATGCGTTACAATATTTAAGAGACCTTTTAAATGAGAGATAATACATGAAAAATTACACACCTGTCTTTTCTTGACTTTGAAAGGCATTAGACTGTACAAGATCTACAAATGTGACATTCTTTGCAGTAGTGTTAGTAGTATTGCAACAATGGACCATGATGTCAGACTAAAATAAAGAGTACAGTAGGAAAAAGCTATCGGTTTTAGTGAGAGTACTCATAACCTAGAGAATAGCTCTAAGATCGTTCCTCTATAGTATAGTCATGAATTACTTGACAGCTAGCATATAGAAAGAGCGTTCCTGGTACCTACTTTACGAACACGATATTCTTATTAGAAATAGCTCAGGAACTGCAAAAAATAGTTATATAGCTGAATTCCTAGAAAATTAATATAGTAAAATAATCATTAGTAATCGATAGACCAAGTGAATACATCCTTGTAGTAAAGTTAGATAAGTACTTACATAAGGTATTGTAACTCAATTGCCAACTATCAGACTATTGATATACAGAAGCAGCAGTACGTTGAAAATGAAAAAATGAAAAATACTTTATTACCAGCATTAACTCAATGTTAACAGGGAACACAATTACAAACATAACATATTTTGCTTAAGTGATAACATGGCGAGATTTCCAGGGGCGTCAACACTAAGCGAGCTTGTGTCGTGGATGCCTTAAGATCTGAAGTTTATTGCTTCAAATATCGAGGTCCAGAGATAGCAACATTGACCCTCATTTGACTCACCACAACAATACTGGTTGGAGCATATAAGCATTATCGGGTGTTTTATGTGAAAGTGGGATGCTAGTAAGTGTTAAGCGAAAGGTATAAGGTGGCAGTTCTTTACTTAAACATGCATAGTGGCCCATAAAGAAGAGCAAAAAACTGCCTACAACAGAAATTAAGAGTGTGACTTTGACAGAGGATCTAACTTGGCGATGGAGTGAGGAATTTAAAGTGTCGAATTTGAATTTAAAGTACTAAAAAGCTACAGTTGACATCTTTATTGAAAGAAGTAATGATGTTAAGTGACAATAATTATCTACTTTTACTTATTATTAATGTTACTTTTACCATATGACTTACAACTGCAACTTACAATTAATGTTACTTTTACCATATGACTTACAACAAAGTTACAATAGCATGATCTACCTTCAGATTACAAGGGCTCTTCATTTATTTAAATTAAATATATGTACATTGAAAATTTATACAATCGAAGTGGGGGCAAAAGGTAGTATTGCAACATTAATTGTTGCCTTGTTTTATTGCAGTAACAGAGCATACTTGTGAATGACCAGAATATTGCTTACGGTAGGTACGAGCTACGTAATTGCTACGACAATCTACGATATGCTACGAGGGGCCTACAATAGATACTTCTTAAATCTCGACATACATATAATTAAAATATATGAATCCTAACGACGTCTCTGAGAATTAATTAAGTTATATGATATATTAACTTACTTATATAACATTTGCATATAACATATTACTAATATTATTATTGATTACTTTACTTGCTACATTTCAATATAGCTGGAGATTCTATGCCTCTCTTTTACAATATTAATTACAAAGTACTTGTATTCTTATGACAAAATCTTTGCAACTGTCGCGACATCTACAATTGTGGTACGACTGGTGTCTGGTAGTGGCAGTTGTGTTAAATCGTTCACAATAAGGCGTAAGCGTTCCATCATAGGTTATAGGTACCTTTTATAATAAATAATAAATTTGCAGATTTGAAAAATAAATAAATATCAATTAATATTGCACCTTAATGAAAAAATAGTTCGTTAATTATAATGATGCAGTTAAAAATGTAAAATAAATTTAAAAAACCGGATCCTTAAGTCAGTAAAACTAATAATTACATTCACTTTCTATGAAAGAAAAAACTTCCGTCTGAAATTATGTAAGAAGCCGAACGGGGAATTGTTTATATATATATATATATATATTTCTTCTGTGAGAATGTATGTCACTGAACTTCTCTCAAACGACTGGACCGATTTTGATGAAATTTTTTGTATGTGTTCAAGGGGATTGGGAATGGTTTAGATTCACAATTTTGTCCGCTGGCCACTGTTTTTTTTATTACTTTTTAATTTATTAGTAGTTGTTGATACAAACGTTTTTTTTTTGACATTAGATTTGACAACTAACGAATATATATCAATCATGCTGTCGCACTTCAAAACACGGAGGTTTATGGCTTTAATAGGTAAACTCCAAAAATATAAATAAAAAAACGTAACAGATATTTCTTGATTATAGGGCGATACGAAGTTCACCGGGTCTTCTAGTATATATATATATATATATATATATATAAATGCTTGATTGATTTAAGCTATTTAAAGTATTTGTAATTTTATGATAATGTAATATAATAAATACGAATGTAATGTATGAGTATTTCTTTTTATGGTTAAAATGCTTTTATTTAAATGTAGACTGGACGCCAATTGGAAACAGGTATATATTTTTTAAACTATTGGCTTTTTGCTTACTGTTTGAGGAATAGATTTTGTGTTGTTATGTTAAGCAATATTATCCGTTATTTAAAAATTCCGGGTAGAAAATAAGGAACGGAAAATTTATCACAAGAGCAAGATTGGACATGTAACATACAAGCTAATGTGTTCTATGCCTGTATTTGATACGGTCAGTGAAAAATTTTATATATTTCGTTAAAATTTAAATATAATTCAATAATTCAACTCAACATTCCTTTTAAAATAAAATTATATTAATTTAATACTTAATTGTTATTTCTTTTACTCAACGAGCAGTATGGGAATGTTATTTTAGTGATGGCAGTATGGGATAGCTTTACCTTCACTACTCACATACAGTTTTTCTTATTAGTATATATATATATATACATATATACTCTCATCCCCATTGCGGACCTCTGATTACTATTTGGTTAAATATGACTTTTTAAAGACACTCTTTTAAATTCTAATGCAAAGGACTTCAACTAAAAGGCCATCAGCTAAGCCGGTTCTCGTCTCTCGATACCTGAGCTCATACTTAGTCCGTCAGAGATTACTCTTTTACTCTTAAATTTATAATTCACTACTGTATAACACCCTGATATAATGGAGTCTATTATTTCGAAAATATCTTGTTTAAAATGATTTCCTTTATCTAATTTGTTGGTCTATATTTTTTATTGATATTTTTTATGGGTAATCTCACAATCCAGCGTCTATAGGTTTTGACAAGTTTATTTATGTGGAAAAAAACTACATAATATACTAATACAAAATGTTAATAAAACATAAACATAATATGAAAAAACTTTTGAAATATTTTAAGTCCAATGAAACTTATTTTGTCCTACCTTTATGTTATGAAATTAAAGAAACGTGGAGATTAAATCTAAAATCTAAATTGCATTATTTTGTCCTGTCTTGCTATCTGTTTTAATAGAGGTTTGAAACAAGTAAACCACCTCAATTATTCTCATAACAGTCTATTATTCAAATACATAACAGTCAATTTGTCGTACTTAAAGTTCAATGAATGGTACATCATAATAACGCAATAAAGTAACAATTCGGCGGTTTAAAGCGGGTCTCTTGCCAAGTAATGTTAACATGTTAATGTGCAGTATGTAACAATATCATCTGTTGCGTCCCTCTG